AAGCCGAGGTGAGCGGATCACCTGAGGTCAGCAGTTAGAGACCAGCCTGGCCAACATGTTGAAGCACTGTCTCTACTAAAAATACAAAAAGCCAGGCATGGTGGCAGGCATCTGTAACCCCAGCTACTAGGGAGGCTGAGGCAGGAGGCCTGCTTGAACCTTGGAAGTGGAGGTTGCAGCGAATGGAGATTGTGCCACTGCATTCCAGTTTGAGATTCTTTCTCAAAAAACAAACAAACGTGGGATTTTAGTATCTACCTGCCTAGTGCTCTCCGCCCTGGCTGCAGATCAACCTGGGAGATTGATTTAAATTGACCAATCAGAGCAGGACTGCCTCTAACTGGTCTCAGGTGGAGCCAAGCACGGGCGTTCGTGGGAGCTCCCCAGGTGGTTCTCATGTTCAAGCAAAGGTGTGAAGTGACAGGCCAGAGCCTCCACCACAGGGCTGGTGTCCTGGGTGCTGGGAACAGTGGGCGGCAGCTGGCAGGTGTCAGGAAATGCTGAAGGGTGACTCCGTCGCCCTTGGTGTCTACATCACTTGTTACTCAGCATCAGTTTGGACCTCATCTCACGTCAGTTAGGCGGGAGGTCACCCACTCAGCCCTAGGTCATCAGCCCTGAAATAAAGACAGGCTTTGTCCCATTCCGAAATTCCCTAATCCAAACATGAAGTCATCCCAGCCCTGCCTTCGGGAGTTCCGCTCAGGGCCCCGCCTGTTTCTTTCTGAACACAGGCTACGGAGCTCTGGATTCCTGGGATATGCCCGAAGGAGAAATTGGGTCCCGCAGGGATATAGGGTTGGACGGAGATCATTGAGCTCCTGCCTGGGGCTTGGGTCTGCGCTCACCCCTGCCAGGTCTCTCCAATGCCTCTCCTGGAAAGGATGATAAATGTGAGTCTTCATTTCCTCATTTGAAAATGGCCCACAGGTTCAGGATTGGAACGATGATACGGGGCTGGGCTGCCCCACCGCAGTCATGCAGGCTGCTGTGTAAGCCTTCTGGCAGCTCTTCCAGGATCAGCTGGTCCCTACTTAAAGACAGCTGTGGCTTGGAGGGGTTAAGTGCTCCAGAATCCAAGCCCAATTTGCTGGAGTGTGAAGCTATCCATACCTTTTCTAGCCTGTCTATAGAGCAGAATAAGATGCGGCTGAAACATCAACCAGAGGCCAAAGAGATTTTTTTTTTTTTTTTTTTTTAATGAAATCTGAGAGCAAGAGACTTTCTTGTCTCTTTAAAAGACATGATTTCCAGGCTAGGCACAGTGACTCACGCCTATAATCCCAGCACTTTGGGAGGCCGAGGCTGGTAGATCACAAGGTCAGTAGTTTGATACCAGCCTTGCCAATATAGTGAAACCCCGTCTCTATTGAAAATACAAAATTTAGCCAGGCATGGTGGCAGGTGCCTGCAACTCCACTCCAACCTGGGCAACAGAACGAGACTCTGTCTCAATAACTAAATAAATAAAAATAAAAAAGTAAAATAACATGATTTCCAGCCTGGGCAACAAGGCAAAAACTCATCTCTACAAAAAATACAAAATTTATTACTACCTAGGGGTGCTGAGTGGGGAGAATCTCTTGAACTTGAGAGATCAAGGCTGCAGTAAGCCATGTTCACTCCACTGCACGTCAGCCTGGGTACCAAAGGGAGGCCTTGTCTCAAAAATAATAATATTGACCAGGTGAGGTAGCTCACACCAGTAATCCCAGCACTTTAAGAGGTCAAGATTGGAGGATCATTTGAGGCCAGGAAATCAAGACCAGCCTGGGCAATAAAGCAACACCCTGTTTCTACAAAGAACAAAAATAAGGTAAATAAAATGACTTGAAGGAAGATGAGGAAGACGTCTGAGAAGCTGCGTGTTTCCTCATGGAGAGATTGGATCACTCTTATCTCCAGCTTGGTGTCTTGTGACAAGAGGTTGGCAATGCAAATGTTTGTTGACCTAAACAGTTATTTATTCACTCTTTCAACAGATGTTTATTGAGTGCCTACTGGGCATTGTACGAGCAGTGGGAACTGGAAAAGAAACAGGACTGACAAGGTCCGTGGGCTGATAGAGCTGACATTCCAGCCAGTGTGTGGGGAAGGGGGTGGGCAGGGAAGAGAGACAAAAAATAAACAAGACGATGAAAGATCACAGTACGGGCTGTGTATCAGTTATCTACTGCTGCGTAACAAACACCTAACGATTTAGGGCTTAACACCACCTCCATTTATTTCCTTGCAATCCTGCAATGTGGGCTGAGCTCAGCTGGGTGGTTCTTTGGCTGGTCTTGGCGGAGGTCACTCATAGTCTCAGTCATCTGTCATGAGGTGGCTTGAGAGGGACTAGTCTGAAAAGTGTTGGACCTAACAATGTTTTTAAAGTTGAATTAACTTTAAATGCAGAAACCAAAGCATTTCACATAAACCTTCAGATTCTTTGGAAAAATCAGAAGGTATGGCCATCCTGAGCCCACATTTCTGCAAGGCAGCAGAACATTTGCTGGGCAGTGGCTGCCCCGGGAGATGGGGCATTGCTCTCCAGGTTCCCACAGCCCTAGCCTCTCTCTGGAGATTTCTAACACTGAGCCTGATTGTTGTTCTTTTTTTTTTTTTTTTTGAGACGGAGTTTTGCTGTGTTGCTCAGGCTGGAGCGCAGTGGCGTTATCTCGGCTCACCGCAGCCTCCGGGTTCTTGCAATTCTCCTGCCTAAGCCTCCCGAGTAGCTGGGACTAAAGGCGCATGCCGCCATCCCTGGCTAATTTTTTGGATTTTAGTTGGGGTTTCACCATGTTGCCCAGGCTGGTCTCGAACTCCTCAGCACAGAAAATCCACCCGCCTCAGCCTCCCAAAGTGCTGGGATTACAGGCGTGAGCCACTGCACCCAGCCTTGATTTTTGTTTTGACTGTAGAGGCAAGGGGAAAGTGACACCTCTCTCCAACCCATGGCCCTAATCACGGTAGAAGGTGAAAATGGGCTGGAAGAACATGCCTTTGGTCATTTGTATTGTTACTTCTCTCCACGTTTGGTCACTTTTGTGACCACTTTGGCCTTTCCAGCATTTTAACCCTTCTGATACAGAGTGGGAGGAGAGAGGCAGAACAGTCTTCTATAAAGACGTGACTGACGTTGTGCCCTTAAGGATGAGAAGTTGGTAGCTTGGATGAGTGTTAGGGGGAGACACAATACCAACGTCCTGAGGGCACAGAGAACCCTGTGGCTGGAGCTGGAGATAAGGGACTTCCTGCAGGGTCTCAGAGGGCACCGTGTCAAGTTTGGGTTTCATTCTCAATGCAGTGAGACAGCAGCAGGAGGTTAAGTGGTACAGCCAGCATGGAAAACAGCTTGGCAGTTTCTCACTTTAATTATGGAGCTGACCTGGGTGTTCCACCCCTGGGTGTATAGACCCAAGAGAAGTAAAAACAGGGACTCAGATACTTGTACTCAAATACTCACAGCAATGCTATTCACATTAGCCAAAAGGGGAAGCAAGCCAAATGACCATCAATGAAGGAGTGGTTAAACAAAATGCAGTATGTCCATACAATGGAATATTATCCAGCCATATGAAGGAATGGGGTGCTGACCCATGTTACAATAGGGATAAACCTGCAAAATACCACGCGAAGTGACAGAAGACAGCCACAAAAGGCTACTTACTGGGTGGCTTCATTTATATAAATGTCCAGAGGCCGGGCGCAGTGGCTTGTGCCTGTAATCCCAGCACTTTGGGAAGCCAAGATGGGCGAGGTCAGGAGTTCGAGACCAGCCTAACACGGTGAAACCCTGTCTCTACTAAAAATACAACAATTAGCCTGGTGTGGAGGCACCCACCTGTAATCCCAGCTACTTGGGAGGCTGAGGCAGGAGAATCGCTTGAACCTGGGAGGCGGAGGTGGCAGTGAGCCGAGATCGCGCCACTGCACTCTAGCCTGGGTGACAGAGCAAGACTCCGATTAAAAAAAAATGGATGGAGGGGTCAGAACAGGCAAATTCCTAGAGACAAACAGCAGGTTACTGGTTGCCAAAGGCGGGGAGACGGGGAATGAGAGAGACTGTTCACGGGTATGTGGTTTCCCTTGAGGGTAACAAAAATGTTTTGGGTTTCGATAGATGAATACCCAACATTGTGAATGTGCAAAAGTGCCACTGAATTGTTCTCTCTAAAACGGCTCACATTTGGTCAATTTTACCTCAATTAAAAAAGAAAAATGAGGCCAGGCAAAGTGGCTTACATGTGTAATCCCATCACTTTGGAAGGCTGAAGCAGGCAGATTTCTGAAGGCTGGGAGTTCAAGACCAGCCTGGATAAAATGGTAAAACGCTGTCTCTACTAAAAATATCAGAAAAAAAAAAATTAGCCGAGCGTGGTGATGTGTGCCTGTAATCCCAGCTACATGGGAGACTGAGGCAGGAGAATCACTTGAGGTGGAGGTTGCAGTGGGGAGTGAGGGGAGGTAGGGCCACTGCACCCCAGCCTGGGCAACAGAGCAACACTCCATCTCAAAAAGAAAAAAAAGAGGGATGGAAGAAGATAGGAAACAAATAAAGCAATCACCACTCTCGTAGCTGCTTCGCTGTGGATGTCGAGGAAATGCGGAATCCGTTTTATACCCAAAGGGGTGTTTCCTGTAGATGATCCAGGGGTGTACAAGACTCTGGCTGGAGAGGGGTGCATTAGCAGCACCGGGAGGGGTCCAGCCACCTGTGCACCTGCCACGCTTCTGGTGCCCCCCGTCTTGTCCCAGCTTCAGGGGATTTGAGGGAACCTGGTCAGACAAGTCTCCTACAGCCCTTTAACCCACGTTTCTGAATTGGATTCAATGGGAGGCAGCCTTCCAGCTAAAAAAAAAAAAAGCCCAGGGCCTGGAGCTGGGGGGAGACATGATGGACTTCCCAAAGACACTGATGACTGAAGAACAGACTGCAGAGGGAGGGGCAGTTTACAGAAGGTGAACAGGACCAGCAGCAATTGCTGGTGAAGGTAGGAGGCTGCTGTCAGGATTTCTTGCCCTCACCACTGTCTAAGAAAGCCTGGGAAGGAGAGGCCTCCAGCAGCTCCAGGGGGCCCAGGGACTCTGGCTGCAGCGTCTGTGGAGCAGGACATAAGAATGGCTCAGATCTAGGGAGAACGGGACCAGCCGGCTCTGACCAAGGACAGCCGCAGCCACGTCCAGCCAACTCTAGAAGCAGATGGGTCATTTCCAAGATGTCCTGAGAAGGGTCCTATTCCTGAGTCCCTCCTTGCTGGACTCACCAGATTCTAACTTAGGGGGTGGGGCTGCATCAGTTTCCTACGGCTGCTGTAACAAACTCCCACACGTGCAGTGGCTTAAAGCAATACAGACGTGTCATCTCACCATCAGGAGGCCTGGTGTCCAACGCTGGCCTCGCTGGGCTAGAATCAAGGTTTCAGCAGGCTGGTTCCTCCTGGAGGCTCTCGGGAGACCCTCCTGTGCTCGGCCTTCAGCCCTGTGCCCTGCTCCAGCCTCTGTGCTGGTTGTCACGTCTCCTCTCTCTGACCCTCCTACCTCCCTGATAAGAACCTTTGTGACTGTGGAGGGCCCGGATAGCATTTGGATGTCTGTTCCCTCCAAATCTCATATTGAAATGGGATCCCCAGTGTTGGAGGTGGGGCTGGTGGGAGGTGTTTGGGTCATGGAGGGAGATCCCTCATGAATGAGTGCCCGCCCCATGGTAGTGAGTTCACATGAGAGGCTTTTTTGTTTTTGTTTTGAGACGGAGTTTTGTTTTTTTTGCTTTTGTTACCCAGGCTGGAGTGCAATGGCATGATCTCGGCTCACCGCAAACTCCGCCTCCTGGGTTCAAGCGATTCTCCTGCCTCAACTTCCTGACTAGCTGGGATTACAGGCATGCGCCACCACGCCCAGCTAATTTTGTATTTTCAGTACAGATGGGTTTCCTCCATGTTGGTCAGGCTGGTCTCAAACTCCCGACCTCAGGTGATCTGCTGCCTCGGCTCCCCAGAGTGTTGGGATTACAGGCGTGAGCCACTGCACCTTGCCAAGAGTTGGTTGTTTAAACAGCCTGGCACATGACCAGGTGTGGTGGCTCATACCTGTAATCCCAGCACTTTGGGAGGCCGAGGCCGATGGATCATTTGACGCCGGGAGTTGGAGATCAGCCTGACCAACATAGTGAAACCCTGTCTCTAGTAAAAATATAACAATTAGCCAGGTGTGGTGGTGGGTGCCTGTAATCCCAGCTACTCAGGAGGCTAAGGCAAGAGAATGGCTTGAACCCCGGAGGTGGAGGTTGCAGTGAGCTGAGATCATACCACTGCACTCCAGCCTGGGCAACAAGACCAAGATTCTGTCTCAAAAAAAAAAAAAAAAAAAAAAAAAAAAAAAGCCTGGCACCTCCCACCTTCCCTCTCCTTGCTCCCTCTCTTGCCATGTGAAGCCATGTGATGCACCTGCCCCCTTCACCTTTCACCATGACTACCAGCGCCCTGAGGCTCTCCCTGGCAACAGCTGATGCTGGTGCCATGATGGTATGGCCTGCAGAACTGTGGGCCAAAAAAACCTCTTTTCCATGCACATTACCCAGTTACAGGTATCCCTTTATAGCAATGCAAAATGGACTAACGCAGGACCACCTTGGAAATGGAGAACGATTGCCCCGTCTCAGAGTCCTTAATCACACCTGCAAAGCCCTTTTGGCCATGTCAGGCGACTTATTCACTGGTTCTAGGAGTAGAATGTAGATGTATTCAGGGGGGTGGCAAAGATCAGAAGTCTCAACGTTTTTTCCTGCAGAGGTGAGAACTCTGAAAGGGAGAACCCAGAGCGTGGCCGGGCTCTTTTGGCTGTGTCTCTGGGGCCTATTGGAGCAGAGGAAGCTTTATTTGGTGCTGGTCTTATTGTATTGTGTCTAATGACAGAGAGACAGCATAAAGGAGAAAGGACAGTCAGAGAGAGACTACCGGCTGGGTATCACAGACATGGGTCCAAATCCTGGCTCTGCCTCAGACAAGCCGTGTGACTTGGAGCAAGTTTGAGTCTCACTGTAATCCAGGCTGGCGTGCAGTGGCACGATCTCAGCTCAACACGACCTCCTGGATTCAAGTGGATCCCATGGATCTCCTGGATTCAAGCAGTTCTCTTGCCTCAGCCTCCAAAGTAGCTTGGATTACAGGCATGCGCCACCATGCCTGGCTAATTTTTACATTTCAGTAGAGATAGGGTTTCAGCATGTTGGCCAGGCTGGTCTCGAACTCCTGACCTCAAGTGTTCCACCTACTTCAGCCTCCCAAAGTGCTGGGATTGCAGGCATGAGCCACTGCACCCAGCCATGGAACAAGTTTAATTGCTTCTGACTTTCTCATTTGTGGAGCAGGGGCTGTAGAGACCACTCAGGAATATTCTGAATGTAATGACTAACTTTAGCAACTCCTCCACGGGGCCTGGTAGGGGAGGTGTTTGATGAATGCTGGCCCTGGACAATTTCCGGGCAGTGCAGAGGACGGGAGGGGAGGGCAGCCAAGGCAAGCTGCACCTCCCTCTTCCTCCTCCACCCTGCCCCACCGCTGTGTTGGGCACACACGGGACGGCTGCGGCGGCTGCTCTCTGGCCGTGCTGGAATTGTGAGTTTCTCCTTTCCTGGTCACAGCTGATAAGTATATCCTGCTCGATACAAATACATCCACCCTTATGGCAAGAGTCCCAGGCTGGGAAATCTCTGAGGATGCCACCTCTAGCCCTAGAGAGTGTGTACTGCCTTTCCCCATAAATTGTTCAGGAGTATACAGCTGTGCACGGGTGAGGGGTCCTCCCAGCCCCTGGCTCCATGCTCTGGGATGCAGCCGGGGAAGATGCAGGCTGAGCTGGCAGTGGCGACTGTGCAGAAGTGGGTCGTGCGTAACTATCAGCACTGATGGGGCTCAGACATGAAGGCTTCACGGCCAGCACGAGGAGGTCTCGACTTGCACCAACTACTGTTCTCTGCACTACCATGCATTCACTTGCTTAGTCTGGCACAACCCTGAGGCTGTGGGTCCTTGCCACTGCCCCTAGGAAAACGGAGGCAGAGAGAGGCAGGACCTAGCTAATGAACGAGTTAGTGCTGGAGAACGGATTTGAAACCGTTTAGCTCCAGGACCTGAGCTTTTAACTGAAGGTTGCCTCCTACTGAATTTAATTCAGAAACATGAGTGTGAAGGCTGTAGGAGACTCGTGCTCTCAGGTTCCCCCCAGTTCCCTGATGCTGGAGCGAGATGAGATGGGGGATCCCCGGGGAACACTGGTTGGTGCACACGTGGGTGGGCTCCTCCGGGTGCTGTTAACCCCCCCTCTCCAGCCAGAGTTTTGTTTTGCCCACCCCCGGACCATCTACAGGAAACACCACTTTGGGTATTGATATGGTTTGGCTCTGAGTCCCCACCCAAATGTCATCTCGAATTGTAATCTGAATTGCAATCCTCGAGTGTCAAGGGAGGGACCTGGTGGGAGGTGACTGGCTCATGGGTGCAGTTTCCCCCACGCTGTTTTCATCATAGAGTTCTCATGAGATCTGGTTGTCTGATAAGTGTGTGGCTCTCTCCCCTTCTCTCTCCTGCCACCGTGCAAGACATGACTTGCTTCTCCTTTTGCCCATGACTGTAAGTGTCCTGAGGCCTCTGCCTCAGGAATCAATTAAACCTCTTTTCTTTATAAATTACTCATTCTCAGTTAGTTCTTTATAGCAGTGTGAAAACAGACTAATGCAGGTATAAAAGTAGACTCCTGGCCTAGTGTGGTGGCTCATGCTTGCCTATAATCCCAGCACTTTGGGAGGGTGAGGTGTGTAGATGGCTTGAGGTCAGGAGTTCGAGACCAGCCTGGCCTTGAACATGGTGAAACCTCATCCCTACTAAAAATACAAAAATTATGTGGGTGTGGTGGTGCATGCCTGTGATCCCAGCTACAGGGGAGGCTGAGGCATGAGAATTGCTTGAACTTGGGAGGTGGAGGGTGCAGTAGGCTGAGATTGCACCATTGCATTCCAGCCTGGGCAACAGAGCAAGACCCTATCTCAATAAATCAATAAATATACAGAAAAAAAGAGTGGATTCCCCATTTCCTCAATATCACCAGTGACGCAGCTGCTGGACTGCTGATCGCTTCTCTTATTGGCCCCGTCTTCTAACTGCTGCCTCCTGGGTTCAAGTGATTCTCCTCCTTCAGCCTCCTGAGTAGCTGGGACTACAGGCACGTACCACCACGCTTAGATAATTTTTGTATTTTTAGTAGAGATGGGGTTTCACCATGTTGGCAGGATGATCTCAATCTCTTGACTTCGTGATCTGCCCACCTCAGCCTCCCAAAGTGCTGGGATTACAGGTGTGAGCCACTGTACCCAGCCTTTTTTTTTTAATTGAGGTAAAATTGGCCAAATAGCCATTTGCGAGAGAACAATTCAGTGACGTTTAGCACATTTACAATGTTGGGCATTCATCTGTCCAGTTTCAAATCATTGTCACCCTCAAAGGAAACCTGTACCCATAAACAGTCACTCCCATTCCCCCTCTCCCAGCCCTTGGCAACCAGTAACCTGCTGTTTGTCTCCAGGAATTTGCCAGTTCTGGACACTTATATAAATGAAGTCATGCAGTAAGTGGCCTATTGTGACAGTCTTCTCTTCACATGGTATTTCGCAGGTTTATCCCCTATTGTAACATGGGTCAGCACCCCATTCCTTCACATGGCTGAATAATATTCCATTGTGTGGATAGGCTGCAATTTGTTCACCCATTCATCTGCTGACGCACATTTGGGTTGTGAATAGTGCTGCTATGAGCATTTGACTACAAGTATTTTGAGTCTTCACTTCTCTTGGGTCTACACACCCAGGGGTGGAACTGCCGGGTCACATGGTAACTTCATGTTTAACACAAGGATTTTAACACAAGCTGTTTTCCACAGTGGCGGCACCTTTTACACTTCCACCAGCAGTGTACGAGGGTTCCTGTTTCTCCATATCCTTGCCAGCATTTATTTTCTGCTTTATTAAAATTTTAAAAATTACAGCCATCCTCCAGTAGAGTGTTTATCTTTTTTTTTTTTTTTTGAGACGGAGTTTCACTCATGTTACCCAGGCTGGAGTGCAATGGCGCGATCTCGGCTCACCGCAACCTCCGCCTCCTGGTTCAGGCAATTCTTCTGTCTCAGCCTCCTGAGTAGCTGGGATTACAGGCACGCACCACCATGCCCAGCTAATTTTTTGTAGTTTTAGTAGAGACGGGGTTTCACCATGTTGACCAGGATGGTCTCGATCTCTTGACCTCGTGATCCACCCGCCTCGGCCTCCCAAAGTGCTGGGATTACAGGCGTGAGCCACCGCGCCTGGCCTAGTGTTTATCTTTCTTTCTTTCTTTCTTTTTTTTTGAGACAGGATCTTGCTCTATTGCCCAGGAGGGCAGTGGTGTGACCATCCCTCTCTGCAGCCTTGACCTCCTGGCCTCAAGCAATTCTCCCAGCTTAGCCTCACAAGTAACTGGGACTACATGCAAGTGCCACCACACCTGGCTAATTTTTAAATTTTTTTGTTAGACAGAGGCTCACTCTGTTGCCCAGGCTGGAGTGCAGTGGTATGATCTTGGCTCACTGCAACCTCTGTCTCTTGGGATCAAGTGATTCTTCTGCCTCAGCTTCCTGAGTAGCTAGGAGTACAGGCGCCTGCCACCACACCCAGCTAATTTTTTTATTTTTAGTAGAGACAGGGTTTCATCACGTTGGCCAGGCTGGTCTCGAACTCCTGACCTCATGATCCGCCTGCCTCGACCACCCAAAGTGCTGGGATTACAGGTATAAGCCACTGTGCCAGGCCTATCCCTCATTTTTAAAAGCAGAGCTAAGATGCCACTTGGCCCCACCTCCACAGATCCAGTTGAGAAAAATGGGTTTTTTCAAGTCCAGTGCCCTTGGTAGAGAAGGATCATTGGTGTAAATGGATTGGGGCCGGTGGAAGCAGCTGACCCAACCTTCAGAAGAAATTCAGTCTTCCCCTTGGCGCGGTAACCATGCAGACAACTCAAGGCATGGCCTGTCCACGCCCCAACTCCAGAGTGGGCAGAGCTCACATGGATGGGCTCCCTCAAGTTCTCCAGAGAGGTACAGGTTCCACTAAAAAGTCAAACTTGGTCTTACTAAAAAAAAAAAAAAAAAATCTTGGCCAGGTGCTCATGCCTGTAATTCCAGCACTTTGGGAGGCTGAGGTGGGCAGATCACGAGGTCAGAAGTTCAAGACCAGCCTGGCCAACATGGTGAAACCCCATCTCTAGTAAAGATACAAAAATTAGCTGGGCATGGTGGTCCGAGCCTGTAGTCCCGCTACTCGGGAGGCTGAGGCAGCAGAATAGCTTGAATCAGGGAGTCGGAGGTCACAGTGAGCTGAGATTGCGCCATTGCACTCCAGCCTGGTGACAGAGCAAGCCTCCGTCTCAAAAAACAAAAAAAAAAAAGAAAAAAATTAGCTAGGCATGGTGGTGCGCACCTGTAATCCCAGCTACTCAGGAGGCTGAGGCAGGAGAATCTCTTGAATCTGGGAAGCAGAGGTTGCAGTGAGCTGAGATCGCACCATTGCACTCCAGCCCGGGCGACAGGGCCAGACTCTGTCTCAAAAACAAATAAAAATAGGAAATATCTTGGCTCCCATCAGCTCCTATTCCAGCTGAAGGACAGTTGTTCTGACTCAGACCCCAGCAGGAGGATTCCCCTGACCCCTTTGCCACATACTGTCTGACTTTCCATCCTTGGCTGTTCAACAACTGAGCCAGTTTCAAAAAGGGTCTGTCCGCTCTCCAGAGAGGCAGGCCAGACTGTGATATCATTATGGGTCCGGACGTTGGAACTGGCCTTGAATCCCAGCTCTGCCCTCTGCACTGGGCCATAAGTCTGGCAAAGTGACTTCTCAGCACCTGTTTTCTCTGCTGTAAAATGGACAGAATGATAGTGCCTTCTTCCTAGGGCTATTGCAAGGATAAAGTGACTTAACATGTGAGGTACTGAAGATGGGCTCCATTATATAGTTTTTCAATAGGAGATCTGTATCACCATTGGGAGGAGACAATAGGGTTAAGGATGGTGACAGTCAACCTCTCACCTCCCCACCTGCAAAATGCCCTCCTCCATAGACAGACCGTCCCTCTATCTCGGGCACGGGTTTCTGGATGAGACTCTTGTCAGCAGTAACCCTCCCTCACCCCAAAGATAAAAGGGCTACAGGCTGGGCATGGTGGCTCACTCCTGTAATCCCAGCACTTTGCGAGGCCGAGGTGAGTGATCACTTGAGGCCAGGAGTTCAGGACCAGCCTGGCCAACATGGTGAAACCCCATTTCTATTAAATTTAAAATACAAAAACTAGCCAGGCATGGTGGCCTGTGCCGGTGATCCCAGCTACTTGGGAGGCAGGAAAATCGCTTAACTCAGGAGGTGAAGGTTGCAGTGAGCCGAGATCGCGCCACTGCATTCCAGCCTGGGTGACAGAGCCAGACCCTGTCTCAAAATTAAAATTTAAAGGGCTAGAGGCCACTGGTCCATATGACCTTGTTATGAAAGTTGGAAAAAAATTTAAACCCACTCGCCACACCTACATTATGCCATGCTCTGTGACCTAAGATGAATACTGCCTCTTTTCATGTGATTTCAGGAGGGAGTCTGCAGACGTCCAGCGCACTTGCCTGTCCTTACCTAACCTGGACCTTAGGGGAGAGTTGCTAAGCTCTTTGCCCCTTGCCTTCAGTGGAGATCTGTATTTGAATTATCTTTTCTAAGTACTACCAGTCATTGTAGATTTATTGTCTCTGGACAGCGCAGTAAGAGAGAACTACAGAGAATTCTGCTTTCCGCAGATGGAATTCTGTCTCATATTACTAAGCCCTTAATATCAAAGTCCTCTAGTCCTTTGAAACCTATTTTATTTCTCTCTTCTGAGGAAAGCAAATTTGAAACCATTTTTCAGGGAAGACAGCAAGGAATCTTATGGTGACAGCGATGGAAGAGGCTCAGGCAGTGACTGGTGTGTGTCTGCCAAGGGACAGACAGATAGCAAACCAGGGTCTAGGAGATGACACTCTGACCGTTAAAATGACAGATATGACAACATTCCATTCACAAATCAAGCTGTATTGATAATGCTGAGTTAGCAGGAATCACTCTAAAAATCAGAAACAATTAGAATGACTTCCCCATCAAATTATTTTATTAGGCTAATTAAACAGCTTAAAGATAATTCATTTCATGTGGTACCCTTCTAGAAAATATTTCAAGTTTTTAAATGAACTTCCAATACATGAAATAAAATTACTTTAGCATACACAAATTTCAGATCAAAATACTACACTCTGTTTCTGTTTTCTTACAGTTATAAAATCCAGTCAATACAAACTACATAAAAAAGATAAAACGCTTTCACTGATCCTTGATACAAGAGAACAGCATGACGGCAGAATGTTCCCCAAGCACAGGTCCTGGGTTCGTGAGAAGGGACCGACCCCACAATATACTGAAGCATGTAAACAAAGCGCGTGCTACTTAACTTCAGAAGGTTAACAAATCCTTTTTGCAACAGTATTACTTGTAAACCATAAAGCAACTTTTTAAAAGAAAGGTTATTAATTTAAAAGTACTTCTGACTGCTAAATTTCTTACCAACAAGTGAATAGAAAATTATTCCACAAAACAAACTGTACCTTTGGACCACAGGATACGAGACGTGACGTTTCAATGAAATCAACTTAGCACAATTTCTCTACTATCCTACTGAACTTGGGGAGTACAATTTTACAAGTTGCAGCCTTCTAGCCCTTTCAATAGTTGGAACTTTCTAAACAATGCCTTTCGTTTAGCTTACGTATTTTCATTGCAAATCCCTGTTTTTCAGCAGTAGGACTTTATTGACGATAGGATAATATCACACACAATACAACCTTAACTAAATATGTGTCTAAGGAGACCTCTCTACTTGGAATTCTACCAAGTAAAAAAGTGGCAGGATTTTTGGTGCGGTATTTATATGGTATTCATGGCATTTTTCTTCTATATTAAAAGTATCAAAATGACAAATCAAGACTGCTAAAAGTCGGTCTTGGACAAGAGTGACAGTCACATATTCAAGGGTCCCGCACAACACTGGCATGAGCCAACAGGAGCCATGCCGGCCACCTGCTGGGCCAGGGCCCACTGCCAACAGCAGCCCTGAATCTGGGAAGGTCAAATCGAATTTACAATCTTGTTTTCAGGAATTTCCTTGGCAGTTCTCTTTCATGACAGAAGACCTACACCCATGATGGAAAACAAAAGAATGTACACATTTCTAGTGTGTCATGAAGGGGCCGCACTCACAGAGACATCACTCTTACTAGTGACACACAATGAAGTCTGCCCGCACCTACCCGAGGAGCATCTGCAATACGGTTTCTGATGAGGATGGGAATGTGTGGAAGTGGGCAGAGCAGGGGGTGCTTTAATCAGCAATGCCGATCACTTCCAGGCTGCTGGTGCACACCCCGACACTGGCTGCAAAGGTTGTTTAAAACTTCTGCTGAAGCCAAGGTGATTACCTGATGGTTGTCACAATTCACAAAAATGGTACAAAAACAAAAGGGGTATCACTATTATGTCGCCGGTGAACTGAAGGGGTGCAAGACCCAGGAGCCAAAGAAAAGCTGAGCTCCAAGTGAATTCAAAATGCAAAGAACCCCAATGGCAGAGAAAGCCACGAATTATGTAACTAAGCAAGTTTTGCTAACAAATAGCCTGTGCTTTTCTCAACTAAAGGCCACTTGATACATTTTCCAACATAAAATTTTTATTCAGATTATCTTTGTTTTCACGGAGAGCTTGAATTTTGAGGTACGATCTAGGAAAAAGATGTTATCACCCACACAAATGGAAGACTTACTTCTTTATTTCTTTTTTTAATTTATTTTTATTGATTTATTTTTTTTAAAGGTGGGGTTTCACCATGATGGCCAGGCTGGTCTTGAACTCCTGACCTCAGGTGATCCACCCACCTCGGCCTCCCAAAGTGCTAGGATTACAGGCGTGAGCCACAGCGCCCGGCCTACTTCTTTATTTCTTAAGCTGATGGTATCCTTTTGCCTGCCCCATGTACCAGATCCTATACATATATTTTTTTATAAAACATAACTCAACTTTAATGAGCATATGCTAATTTAATAATAAATTTACTTAAGTTTCTTTTGAAGCACAAATTCCTTTTGGAAAAACACATGAAAAGGTGGTCTGTCTCGTTAACAAGCACTTCTGATTTCCGATCCCATCCATGATTTGGAACACAGTGTGTTTTTAAGTCAGAGCTGAAGAGGAGACAAGGGCTGCGCTCTGCTCTGGAGAATTCAAGCTGGAAGGGGACAGAGTAGAACCCACACAGAGACTCCCCATCCAGCTCTGCGGATGATGGACAGACACGGCAGAGCACCTGTCATGAGAGGCCACCAGGACTGAGCACGTCGGGGAGCTCGGGCTGCGCTGGGTGCTGAGGTAGTGCACGTGGCCTGTGCCGGCCTCCTCTCCCGGCTTGGAGGAGAGCACTGAGGGCTTCTGGGGTTGGCCTGGAAGGTGTCATTCTAGCCTACAGGTGCCTAAAGGGCTGGGATGTGTCCTTGGGGGTGCCTCAGCAGGCAAGGGGCCATTCTGACCTGGAGCCTGGGGACAGATCTGACTCACAGGCAGGCCCAGCTGGCTGTGGAAAGTGCTAGTACGAAGGTCTGCTCAGCGATCCCTGAGGCTCATGCCCTGGGCATTACGTGGTCTGAGGAACCAGAAGAGCTACTCTTTCTGCCCTCCCCAACTCACTCCAACTCTTTTCATTTTTTATTTTGGATACATAATTCAAGTAGTTAAAAAACCGGGCTGGAAGAGGGGTGGGAAAGAAGAGCAGAGGACAGGGTGGGAAAGCTATCCTAAGAAGAGTGAGTAAAAACGACTCCAAATCATGGCCAAAATACCCTTCCTCCACCTTGACGACAACCCCAAAGCCCGCAGAGAAAGGTGGGCCGACTGCGAAGTGCCTGTTTTCTCAGAGATTCCACCTAGCAGTGTCCTTGGGGAGCTACGGTGGAACACGGAGAGAAAAACCAATGTTGGTTCAAACAAAAGCTTATTAACAAGTGAAGGAAATGGGAAGACACAGACGGCTAGCTCTGAAGACTTGGCGTGCACCCCAGGCTATCAATCTCTTAGGATCATGATCTCCTGTTTCCCCTATTTCTGAGATTTTTTTTTTTTTTAATTTTTTTTGTTATTGTTTTTTGAGACGGAGTCCCCGTCTGTTGTCCAGGCTGGAGTGCAGTAGCACAATCACAGCTCACTGCAACTTCTGCCTTCCGGGGTCAAATGATTCTCCTGCCTCAACCTACTAAGTAGCTGGGATGACAGGGGCCCACCAGCACACTCGGCTAATTTTTTTATTTTTAGTAGAGACGGGGTTTTACCATGTTGGCCAGGCTGGTCTCAAACTCCTGACCGCAAGTGATCTACCTGCCTTTGCCTCCCAAAGTGCTGGGATTATAGGTGTGAGCCACCTCGCCCAGTCTGAGCAGATCTTTTACAAGGTAGGAGGGGTCAGGACACACAGGGAGAGGCTTTTACTCCCTCTCCCTCCGGAGCCAAGAGTAAAACTGCAGTGGACTTTCACCAGGGAGGGGGACAAGACAAAACCATGACCTCTCGGTGAAGATGTGGCCCGTCAGCAGGGCTACCAACCTGGAGAGTGGGAAGGTCGCCCCACCAACCTCCCCTAGGGCAGGGGAAACAGTTGGCTTATGTTCAAATGGTCAATATCACCATAACTTTTTTCTGAAATTTCATATAGCAGCGTTCATTCTTGAACCTAGACATAAGACTTTACATTGAGCCATGAGACTTAAGAGTACTGCAAAACTAAAAACCAACACGTCCCGCCCAGCACTCTTTCTCTGCCGTCTCTATTTTGATTTGAGTTGCTGATAAAAATGCCCAGCAGGTCTAGCTCACCTTCAGTGATCCTGCCAAGCTCCGAGCTCCCCAACACTGCCTGAATCTGGCTATTCAACCTAGTCTCGGTTCTTCGTTAAATCCTAGCTCTACTTCCGGCTCATATTCAGAGGTCAAGAATGACTTTATCAAACATCTTATCGAAATCAAGACAAGCTGAGCACATCACATACTCCTTCCTCTGCCAGTCCCATAACCTCACCAGGAAAAGAAGTGTATGATATGACAGAAGGATTCAGTAGTTCACTTTCTGTACCACTGTGTTAAATAAGCTTCTTTATGCAAGGGTACAAAAGTTCCACACACACAGACACATGCACAAACACACATGCACGTACACACAAGTACTTGTAACACGTATTTGTTTTTAAGTTTCATTTAACATCCAAGTTAGGAAAGCATAGTATAGGTCTATGATCTAAAACAGAGATCTAGGAAATATCTAGTTTCTTTGACCAATATAGACTATTACCTTTCCTATTTTAAAGAAAAAAAAAATTCAACTTTGATAGAGAGTTTGAAGTATTATTAGAGATCTTCACTGTGAAAATTCTAAACAGAGGGTTATTTCTAACAAACTACAAGTACATATTTTGGGCTGTTTCAGCTATCTACAATTGTTTGGAATTTAAATATCAGACACGTAGAAGGAGAGAGGTGGCATGGGTCTAGAAGGTAAATCATTTTATGGCCGGATGTGGTGGCTCACACCTGTAATCCTGGCACTTTGGGAGGCTGAGGCAGGCAGACTGCCTGAGCTCAGCAGTTCAAGACCAGCCCGGGCAACATGGTGGAACCCCATCTGTACTAAAAATACAAAAAACTAGCTGGGCATAGTGGTGTGCACCTGTAGCCCCAGCTACTTGGAAGCTGAGGCAGGAGAATCCCTTGAGCCTGGGAGATTGCACTCCACCGCACTCCAGCCTGGGTAACAGAGCGAGACTCCATCTCAAAACAAGAAGAAAGGATTTTATGAACACAAACATGTCATACATTTACTTGTATATCACGTGGCAGCAGACGTGAGAATGGGGAAAGCTATGAGGCCCGGGACATTCTGCGCAGGCAGCCTCGGCCTCCCACACAGGGTCTCCCGTACTCCGTGTTGAGAGTGGACATAATCAGGGTGGTGGCAACAGCGATCCCTGCGAGCAAGCCACTGTCCCAAGTGCTTATAGTCATCACCCAGTTACTCCTCACCACAACTCTCAGAGGATAAATCCTCCTGCTATGCTTATTCCACGTAGGAAACTGAGCCTCGGGGTTAAAGAGATTCCCAAGTCACAGAGCATAATTGTGGCAGAAGCCCCCAGCCCCAGATGCGCCTGACACCAAGGCCTATGCTCCCAACCACTGGGTTTGTAAGGAAAGTGTATAAAGATGATTGCCTGATAATAATTCAAACAAGAAAATCTGGGGTTTAAGTTAAAGGAGGAAGCCTTGGTTCTCATGGAAACCACTTCCAGGAAATGTCTCACGTCCTGAGCTAAGCCAACAGGGTGCTAACAGATTGTCACTGGAAGAGAAGATTTGCCATTCTACTGTTAAGAGCAAGCCCTTTACTCTGAAAAGCACAAGCATAAAAATTAAATCCTACTAATGCGTAAGAACAGTTCAACTTGGTTATACTTGGTATAACTTAAGCACCAGGTAAAACCTGGTGCTTAAGTTATTTGACGTATGCAAGGCTTTTAGAAATGGGCATAACTCTTTTGGCCACGGCATCACTGAAGTCCTCCATTTAAGCAGGCTGTGTATGACTGTGGCCTGAAACTGGGCTATTATTACAAGATCTCCCCGGAGGAAGGGTCTTGCATATAACTGGTGAGCCTCCTCAACTCCTTCCTCCTGATGGGGTGACCAGGCAAGCTGACAGACACTAGGGAGGATGGGGGCCACCACGTGTGGGGTGCAGAGGGCGCGTACCACAGGAAGCCGAGGGATGCTCCACTGGCACAGGGAACAAGTCACATCATTCATGATTCTAAGTATCATCCAACTCTATGTAGTTCTGCCAACCTCAGCTCTGCACTTAGGAAACACTTGGAGTGAGAAGGAGCTTAGCAGTGAGTATAGAGTTTCATCAAAATTAAAGATTTTTGGGAAACAATAGCACCTTATAGAAAATGAAAAAAAATAGTAGCCTTAAGCACCCAAATCCCAAACACTGGGTCAGATGACAGAGGGACACATTTTCTTGTCTGATGCCAACAAGAATGGAAATCAAGCCCTCTGTTTTACACAGCAGCGACGGTTAAATAGACTACTTTTCTGCATTAGGAAAACACAGCCTTTTAAAGACTCTTTAAAGTTCAAGTTGAGTTTCAAGTAATCACTTTGCAGCAACTCTAGGAGAATTATTATTCCTCCTGGTTGTAAGTGCCTTTTTTTTTTTTTTTTTTAAGTAGTAAAATGGAAAACAGGCCTTAGAGAATTGTATTTCTCAAGGCCGCTGACTGCCTGCTTCCAAGCTTTTGTTAAAGAACAGAATGTGTTGAATTCTTCTAAATTGGCAAGGGATCAAGCACAACACTACATAATGAGGTAGCTGAGAACAGAGTTTTTCCTATAAACACAAAGAACAAGTGAATAAGAGCATGTAATTCTCATCCAATTAAACAGGAAACATGATAAAGCAAGTTACTATAGTTGTATTTAAACCAAGTTCACTGGTATGACTCGAAAAAATTTAACCCAAGGTTCTAAGGTATGCCTTATTCATAACTAATGAGTAAAAACAATAAAAATAAGGTATCCAAACCTACTATTTGTACTGAAATGCTAAAATAAGATCCTAATAAATATAATTCACCAACCAGAAAACAGACGAATCTACATTTGGGATGTGAATAATTTGAAACGGCCGTTTATTTCCGCGGACCCTACTCGGTGTGTAATTGTTCACTTCATCTTAAGGCAGTATGTCCCCCGGCCTCTGTGTGAGGCCATCCTCTTCCACCTACTCCTTCTCCAATTCAAACCACGAATGTATAATTTCTGGGTTTCTTTCAATGTATGCAGGGAAGGAAGCTCAACAACTTTGTTGAGCCAGGAAGAAATTAATATCAACATTTCTAATCAGGCCAAATTTCAGTTGAGTAGGGACTTTAAAAGATTAGTTTTAATCTTTAAAAAAAAAAAAAAAAAGAGGCCAGGCAAGGTGGCTCATGCTGTTAATCCCAGCACTTTTGGAGGCTGAGGAGGGTGGATCACGATGTCAGGAGATCGAGACCATCCTGGCTAACATGGTGAAACCCCGCTTCTACTAAAGATACAAAAATTAGCCAGGCGTGGTGGCACATGCTTGTAATCCCAGCTACTCAGGAGGCTGTGGCAGAATTGCTTGGACCCCGGAGGCAGAGGATGCGGTGAGACAAGATCGCATCACTGCACTCCAGCCTGGGCAACAGCGCAAGACTCCATCTCAAAAAAAAAAAAGGAAAAAAAAAAAAAAAAAGAGGGCAACAGACATTTCTGACTAATTATATAATGTAGTTTTATTTATTAGATGATTAATTTCATGAGAAAGAGAAGGAGTTTAAAAATCCAATCACTTAGATAATTTCAATGACAGAACTGAAAAAGAACATACTTTCTATCAGTGGTTGCTGGCTCAAGCACCTATAGTTCCGGCTGGGTCTGAGGCCAGGAGTTTGAGACCAGCCTGGGCAACAGAGTGAAACCCTGTTTCTATAAGAAATTTAAAAAATAAAATAAAAAAGAACAAACTTTCTTAAACTGTATGCATTACACCAAACCATGTGGAAGTGACTTAATTCCTTAGATGTCACATACATGGAACTATTACAATGAGACAATATTGAGATATGTTTAAAATGGAAACAATAATAAGATTACTTCTGAAAAATACAAAACCTTAGAAAGTTTTACCAGCCAACTTGCAAAAAATCTAGAAAATGCCTACCAGTCAATACCACGGAGACTTAACCGCCAGCAAGCACGACAGACACCCAACACAAGTTCGTGTTCTCAATTACGGGCAAATGGTCCTTTCTCATCCGTATACATTTCCGTAATTTCTACAGAAACTACAGAAAGAGTCAAGAATACTTCAAGAATTATTTAAAAGCTAGCAAAATATTTTCCTAACATTCTAAGACACAGTTTATTTTCCCTTACTAATTACATGGAATAAGAGAGGGAAGTATACATGAAGCTGCAGCTCTTTGAAATTAAAAACAGTTTCTCTTTCAAACACACATTCTTCTGTTCTTATGACTTTAGTAAATTCTTCAAATTCCTACAGCTAGCTAACAAAGAAAATCAAACATATTTCAGGTTATGTCTGTGCAACTAGCAAAGGACATGTTTGGGAGCTTAAATTGTATTAATACTACAAATGATTATTCTATGATTAAAAATACTTGTATGCCTAGAAACATCAAGTCCTGGCCCCACTGCCTGACTGGTGAGCTGATAATCCAAACACCTGGCTTCTGCTTTTGGTTCTTGCTGCTCCCTAAAGCGAGAAATGAAGCTGCATGTGTCAGGCCTCCAAGATTACCCTCATACAATGGGGAAAGTGCCCTGCCCATCCCAGAGATGTGACGATCAAAGGGATATATGTCCTGGAAAGATTTTGAGACCCATATAAAAAGCAGTCAATGAAGCTCAACATTAAACATGATCAACATTATAAGCTATGCTGAGTAGAGGGGTCTCAAAAAACCTACAGGACGTGTGGGGACCACAGGATTGTACATCATGTGCATCAGGCACTTGGCATTGTTTATTCTATACTAGTTTCTACTCCATACAGGAGGCCAGCCCATCTGGGTACAAAGTTTATAACTGAAAACCCAGTAAAATCAGTCACTCTTAGAGTGCCCTTTTCAAGAGAAGAACATCACTTTGATCACAAGAATATATTTATCTGTCAAATGTTTATTGACTACCTACTCTGTGCATTCACTGAGACCAGCAGATGACAAAGACAGGGCCCGGGCCCATCCCAGGGTGAGTTTACGATCTTGAGTGGGACGGTGGTGTGACATCCACCTCACTGTTCAGCTTCCTGAATGGCAGCCA